AATGAGAGCAGGGATAAAAAAAGTCAGGACTCTTCTGACAGGTTTCTGTATTTTATTAACTTTTGAAGTGCCGAGCGCATTCATTAGGCTGTCACTCTGGTACCTTGTTTCAAGTGCCAGATGCTGCTGACAGAGGCTCCTCTGCCATCCCCAGTGCTTCTTTCAGCTGCCTGAACTTTTTGAAACAGAAGAACTAGGTATTTATAACAGAGTTAGGCCCCAGGTAAAACTCCAGGTTTGTGTTTTACTACTACCCTGGGGATTGTTTAAGGTTCAAGTTGGAATTTTACGGCTTGTTCTTCTTAATGCTTTATAGGCAATTTTTTATCTGGGCCTTCGGTTTCAAAATTCTCCCGTAGCTGCGGGAGGCTAGGTGGAGGATGAGTGATGTTTTGTAGTCAGTGTATTTTTAGGATGACATGTTGCACTGAGCTACATTTATCTCTATCAAATAAAATATACTGGATTTTTTTTTTTCAATTTGAAAGTGAAAAGCAGTGATAATCCCTTTTTCTAGCTCCATCTGTTCTGCTTTACTGATTCACAGCAGTCTGAGGACTTTGTCCAGACTCAGCTTTTATTTTCAAGGATGTTACTAATTTTAGATGAAGAAAGGCTCAAGAACTGTGCTGTGTACAAGTACCCTGGGCAGAAGAACAATTCTGTACCAGCCTGGAGATCAGTCAGATGGCTTAATGATCTTTCTTTGGCTTTAATAGCTGGGATATCTCTACATGAGCTTTTTGTGTGGCTACACGTAGGGCTGTACATCGTAACTTTTCTAAAGTATGTCCTTTTCTAATCTATTTCTTCTCTTGATGCACATGGAAAAAGCAAATTGGTCAGAGGAAAGAGATTCTGAATTCTACATGTCACACATAAATTTTTAGCTTTTTCTTGCTTGTATGCCACTCGCTGGTTTGAAAGGTAATAAATTCATCTGGGTAAAATTAAAATTATGTGTAAGCTTGCCTGAATTAAAATGACTCCTCCTCCAACAACACAAATTTAGGTTTAGTTTAGAGACAAAGTTGGAGCCAATCTTTGTAGCTTGGATCTGCTGGTATCTCTGCAATATCTCAAACCAAACTAAATACCCCAAAATTTTCAGGAAAGTTTGTGTTCAGAGCTGAAACTGCAGCTGATGTCTAATCCTGCGTCATCTGAGTCGGTAACAAAAACCCCACTAACTTCAAAGGGTGAAGATTTCATACATGAACTTCATGGCTCTGAGCCATTTCTAATCAAAGAAACAAAACCCACAAGAAGGCTTATACAACATTCTCTAAAGAGCTGCTTTGATGCAGTGGAGCACATAAAAATGCACTTAATCTTAGCAAAATTTTGAACTTGAAGTACGGGTTTCAGGACTTAAAAATAGAATAGCATGAGCTATTTAATACTGAATTAGTTCTAGGGGTTGTCCCTCTTGACAATTTTTTTTCTTTTTTTAAAGTAATTTGACTTTCATTACAAAGAACCAGGAATAGAGTAGCCAAATGCATAGAAGGAAAATGTCTTATAATTCTGGGTACTTGATTTGGGGTGCAATCAGCTTGACTGGCTGGACTGTCAGGTCCACCACCTTCTCCATCTCCATACTGGGGCTTTTTTTTACCCACTCTCTAGACACTGACCTTTGCCAGTATTTTCTCTGAGCAGAAGACCGGTTGTTGCTGTGCATTGCATGGATTTGCTGTCTTAAGTAAAGCTTAGTGAGCCGTATTTGAACAAATCAAGCTTTGCTCAATGGTCTTATGAAAGCTTTTCCAGTAAGATGTTAAGTCAGTGTTTTTCCTGTAAATGGAGGCTTTGAAAGCTGAAGGGAGCTGTCTGGTGTGTGTAGGTGCTTGCCCTTGAAATCAAGAAGCAAGCTACAGGAGGAGTCATAAGAAAAAATCTATTATTTGCTGCAGGTCTAAAGTAAATAGGTGATGAAACATGCACTTAAGTACCTGCTCTTTTGTTTCCTATCAGGATGAGGATGAAGAGGCTGAAGAAGAGAATGGAGTCCTGGCAGCAGTCGCTAACAGTTGTGGTGCTCCTGATAATAAAAACAACTTTGATTCAAACAAGAGCAACAAAACCAGCACCGACAGCAAAAGGGAGAGAAGTAAACACAGTGGGTGTAGTTCACCAATGTCAGTAATGAAAAGACTTTCCTGTATCTTTGATTGCTTCCGTGTTAAAAATCCTTACCACATAGACAACTATGCCAGATTTTCTTTCCCATTGTCATTCATCATAATTAATGTATTTTATTGGATATATTATTTGTATTTCTAAATATTTTAATGTGTAAAATTAATTTAAAGTCTATGAAGTGGATGTGGGAGGGGAAGACGCGTAAGAATGAAGTTGCATTTGGATGAAGGGATATGAAAAGACGTCATCTTTTCAAGCATTTCTACAGTTTCTTGTTAACTCACTTTTCCACAGTTAAATTACTGTCATCCAAAACTGACTTCCCTGTTAGCATGCATGTCCCATATTAAAGTATTTATCAAAGGCCAATAAGTCCTTTTTTTAATATTGTAATGGTCAACTTTGTAAAATAAGAGTTATTACGCTTGTTTCTGAACTGCATTAAATTAATTTAAAAATGAAAACAATGAAGTATTGCTTTCCTGATATGCTTTCAGCATTCAGTTCCTTCTGGCTTTGTCAATAATGCACAGATTGCCCAGATTATATACGAAAATGTATTATTACAGATCAAAGTATTTTTGCTTCATAGCAAGTAACAGCTTTGAATACATGGGCTACCAACACAAAACAAACAGTAGAGTAACCTTTATAGAGTCACAAATACACATCAAGGCTCTTCTCTACAGCTATAGACAGAACTCCCATAGACATCAATGGTTTTTCTGAATAAGTGCAGGGCAGAATATAGAAATGGTCTGGAGCCAAAAGGTTTGGATTCAGAGATGTTTTTCCCAGGTAAGGACATACTGAGGTATTGGCCAATCCTTAATGGAATATGGCCATTTATCCTAATGTTTATACTCTGTATTCCATTAAGTCCCAGCTGCCTGGGTAACTATAAAGCAGAAGAAAAATTTTGGTATCCTTAATTTTCAGCTTAGCAAATTGCTTGAGTCACTTGCCATTAAAAATTCCATGTAAAGATGAAAAAGCCTACTTCTTGAATTGAAAAGAAAACCCTGGATAGGCATTAACTCTTGATGAAAAAGGGGCAAGTTTTACACAGATGAAATTATGACCCACGTGAGAGAATGGTTACACTTGTTGAAAAACCATGACAGTCTATCTGAGTGGTTACTTCATTGACAGATATTACAAGGGTTGTTGATACGACAACCTCTGTCTTATATGGCAGTCTGGATGTTTAGAAGTACTTATACCTTTTTTCCTGACCATAATATATATGTGGTTTGCATATAAATGTATAAATATGTATAAGTCCTTTTATAGACTGTGTACCTTGATATTTATGATGATCTGATACTGCACACATAAAAATGCATTAAAAAGCCCCCATAATATTGAGATTGTTTGATACGCCTTTCTACCAGTGCACTGGCTGTGAAGAACACCATTAGATGAGAAGGAAGGAAGGTGCAAAATACCAGTGTGGATTATATTTGCCCCTGCTCACAATTAAATCCATAAAAATCATTGCACACTGGTAAACAAGTATTAGGTGAATAAAATTCCCTCAGCAATTTTATTTTCTAAATGGGTTAGCAACACATTCAGTAAATCAAAACAAGACTGCTTGTGTTAAGGACTGAAGTGCTGGGGTCTAAACCCCCAGCTCTGAATCGGGGTTGACATGTGGATATTGTCCACAACCAGGCAGGAAGGACCCTCCTGATTGGTTTTCACCCAGGAGCTGGCCAGCCTTGGGTGGAAACCAATTAGGAAAACATCACCAGGTGCCCTGCCTCTGAAGTTAACAGTATAAAGGCTGGCTCTGCTTGTAGTAAGTGTGTCATGGGGATGGGTTCAGTTTCAGTTTCAGTTTCAGTTATTGGAAGGGTGCCTTGGTTGTTTGTTGCAGTCAGAGCTCCCAGTGATGGTGTGATGCCATCACAGCTGGGAGCAGAGGGAGGATTATTTGTGTACTAATTGTGCTGGCTTTGTGGCAATTGCTATATGACTGGAATTTTACTGGTCACCTAGCTTCTGAGTCAGTTTGCTTCTGTCTTTGATTCTTCCTACATGGTGAGTGAATGTATCAATCTTTTAATCCTTCTGGTTTTTAGCCACCTCGTATCCTCATTGTATACTTTAGAATTGGAGGGAAAGATCTAGCCTGTGTGCTGCCTATTGATGACAGTATCTTTCGTATTGGGCATGCAGTTAGCAAAAGAACTGCCAAAAAACAGTTTTGTTTTTTTTTTATTCAATATTCTGCTGTTGTGTTTGACCTTAAACCTTTTTATGGGAACAGATTCTATGAGATCCTTTTCTTGGAAGTGAGGTGTTGAGCTGGACTCTGATATCTCTTTCCAGTTCTCACTCCCATAAAATTTGCAGAAGGCACATGGTAAAACTCTGGTTTTGCTTTCTCAGTTTTGAAGTTTACATTAATCCTGAATTTTTTCAAATAGTTATCCACATGTTGCAAGTTACCTCTTGTGTTACACTAAATTTGGGATTTACATTTACTACAAGCATTAAATTAGTATTTAGAGTTTTGTAGCTTCTAATTAACTTGGAGATAATTAATGTTAAATATTCTTTTTGAATGCTGTTAAAGATCTGGACAGCTTTACTTATAGTGCATTACCTAATAACAGGCTCTGTTTTCCTACTGATGTGCAACTTGTAGGCAGTTAGGCACTGAAGTTCCCCACGTTTTCAGGAAATAGCGGACTGCGTAGTCAGACTTTTATTACTCTGCTTTGCATAATTCTGCATTAATTACTTATTTGAAAAACAAAACTTGGTTTGACGTGAACTTGTGTAAGTAAAACATTCCCTACAGGGGTCAGGGAACAGATTTTCAGTGTGGGGAATGAAGAACAGCATTTAAGTTATCCCATTCAACTATATCCAGAAACTATAAGACTCCTTGGAGTTAGCTGGAAGTAAGCAGTAGTCACTGACAATGCACTAATGGCTAAAACTCATTGGAGATGGAGAAGCCTTTTTTAGAGGAAAGAATGGGGTCAAAGTTGAGGCTGAGGCACTTAGTTAACCTTGGCAATGAAAATGATTTTGTTTTTATATCTGGTGGAAAGCGAAGAATAAAGACTTTGGACTTTCCACAGTAATTTCCTGGTTGATAGTTGTCTTTTGCTTACCTTGATTTTTGTTTTCTAATCTGAGACCTTTTCAGACTCATTATTAAGAAATGCCCTATTGTATTTTGAGGTAACTTGAGACAGACATACAACCAGGGACCTGAGGTCAGTGGAAGTTGTAGTGGTGTGAACTGATGATGCACCTTCACATAATTTACTTTGTGGTTAGAAGGAGGTGGCCTGCTTTTGAGGTATTTGAAGGCAGCAGCCAGCCCAAGGAATAAATTTCCTTCCTTTGTGGAAGACCTGCAAGCCTTATCTTCTGATTTAGCAGCTATCTCAGAGGTGTCTAAGCATTATCCAGACTAGAAAAGCATCTCTCACCTTAATAAGCTCTTTGCTATTACTGTCTTTTTTTAATGGGAAAGAATTATGAAAATAATTTGCTGAGCTCTTTCTTTAAGTATAATTAAAAAAAATCAGAGATTTTAGAACTTTGATGGTATTACTCCATGTTAACTTTCCACTTTGGCAGTTAATCTGGTGTTTGATTCAGCCATGTCACATGTAAGTACCTCATGCAGTGTACTTACTGGGATGTTAGTTGGGATGTTTTGAGAATACTGGAAATATTGCACCAAAATTGAAAGGGAAATGCTAAGAAAGATGCCATTTTAGAAGAGGAACTCCTTATCTCTCTCATAAACTAAGAAGGCATTTTAAATGAATATCGGAATGGTAATTTTAAAACAAACAACTGAACACTCCATCTGAATACTTCCGTCAACACATGGCAAGCATATATTAAGGGCATCCATTTGTTGATCTGAGTACCCATTTTCAGCACGTTGGCCTTTATTATCAGTGCAGCAGCAACTTAAACAGCTGTTTCCTTCCTTGCAAGTCTCTTCATTGTTTGTGTTAATTATTTTAAAAACTTTTATGTCTTTTGGCATGGAAAAATGTATTTTAAAAAACTTACAATTCAAAAATAAATTACCAAGAGACAGTGGAAAACCCCCTAAGTATCAGTAAAGCTGATAACAGATAAAGAAACAAAAAATTAAACCTTCACCTTCCTGCTAACAGCTCTTGTCAGTGACATGGGTACAGCAGAGTACCTAAAACACCTATATGAGTGCAATGTTAAGAGGCTACTGGAGAACTGATGCTGCTGGTACAATTCACTCCATGCAGCAGTAGATGGAGCTAATTAACTACTCTTAATGATTGAATGACCAAATGTAAATGGCACATGCTAGTTAAGGAGGTCTCTAGGGAAAGGCTAGTACAAGATGACATTGGTATTGTGGTAACTTGTTCATGTTTTCAGTGACAGGTTAATTAAAATCAGACAAACCAGCATTGTCAGGTCAGCTGCTGGGGATTTTTTTTTTCGCACAGGAGTCCAGGCTTCTCAAAACCGGACTGTTGTTTTCATCATTTTAGCCACTGAAATGATTAACATATTCTACCAGTCTGCAAAGTCATCTAATGACCACAATGCCTCCTATCTTAAGCCTGGGTTTTCTATCCATATTGACAAGGTTTTCTTGTGTGGGTTATAACGTTTCAAAACAAAGTACTATAGCATCTCAGTATTTCAAGGCAGACAGAATAGTGGCTGTGCTAACAGTTTTTTAAAAAATATTTATGAATTCTAAATAAAAGTTCCTAGGTAGCTCACTGGCACACTGCTTACAGTTGACACAAATATCAAATTAATTTAGAAAAACAATTCATATCTTTTGGAAAAATGAAACTGAGCCCTGGGAATCTTCTGGGCTGATTAAAGAGGTTGCTGCTGTCTCAACCTGAGAGCTGAAGACTGGAGTGGATTCTGCTTATTGTAGAGAAGAGAGTGACAGTGTTTAAAGCAGGTATGCTTGACATGATTTTGAAGTCTGTCATATGGATTTGCCATTATGTGTTACATAACTTTATAATGAAAGCCAGGGGTCCACTTTAAAACTATTGCCAAATTCAGCTTTTCATCAGTTTCCATTTGGAGATAACTTTCTTTCCCAGTCCTGTCTGACGGTCAAACTTTCCATCCTCGAATAGAAGGTT